GCCCCGACGCGGCGGGGGGCGGGGCGGAGGAAGGAATAAGGGGGGGTCAAGGACCTCAGAGTCACCCGGCCCTGTCCCCACCGCCGAGACCAATGCGTCGCCCAGAAACAAGTCGTCTCTTGCCCCCAGGCCTCTGTCCTCTCTCCCTGCACCGTGGTACTAGGGGGGGGCCTGTCTCACCCTGAGCAAAGGGTGTCTTGAAAATTGTCTTCCTAGTGGGATGCATTTTTCCATCCAAAGAGGGTGTCTTTTTTCTAAGCGCACACAGGCGCACGTAGAGCCGGTGGCGGGCCTGTCTGGCTGCGCGTCTTAAGCAGCCTCTTCCCAGGCTCTCCCCTACCCCCTCACTCTCCAGCGGTCCCTATTAGTTTGTGCCAGGCCCCAGCCTGACCTCTTGCCTTTCTTTCCACACCCGGGCCTTCTTTTTCCTGCAGCTCCTTCACAGATTAAAAAGCCCAACCCCGTCTCCTTCCTCACCTGGCTCGGGGCATCCCTGGGCTGGCTGCAGGGCCGGGGGGTGTGGAGCGCGGCCTGCCGGACTCCGGAGGTGGAGGCGGAGCGCCCCAGGCGGTAGCCTCCCGTGAAGTCTGAGGCAGAAGAATGAGGTGTGAGAGGGCAAGGGGTCTCCAGGCTCCCCTCCCCCAGGTTCCCGAGGACAGACTGCCCAGCTGCCCTCTGACTCATCAGAGGAGGAAAGGGATGGAAATGTGGTATTAGGATGTTAGGCCCAGGACGCGGACCCTGGGGGGTTCCCCCCAGCCTGCCCTATCTGTGTGCTGGTATTCGCAGAGTGTCACCTCCGTTGCGGTGGCAGGCAGGGAAGGTCTGGCAGGGTATGGGCAGCGCCGTGCGGCTCCCTCCTCGGTCCGCTCCGTGGTGGATCCTGGCCAGCAGGCCCTCTGCCCCCTGGCTCCTCACTGGGATCCCTGATGCCATAGGGCTTCTGTCCTCACGATCCACCTTGCTGGGACCCTCGGCACTGCCATTCCAGGCCCGGGCACCGTCCTCAACCTCTGCTGGGGTGACAAGGAGAGCTCAGAGCCTGTATAGCGAGAAGGGTCTTGCTGTCCCCCCAGCTACACATACAGTGGCCTGGGTGGGCCAGGAGAAGTAACTGCCCAGTTGCAGGTCACGCCTGGGGAGGGAGGGCCCCTGCTTCACCCTCCCCCAACACATATACACACAGGAGGGACTCCAGGCCTGGCACCACCCCTGGGCTGAGAATCATCGACATTTACTGCTACCAACCCCTTTTCCCTGTTCAGAGGTGTCTGCCTGACCCCATCTTTAACTTCAGAGCCCTCCAGTCCTAGATAGGGCCAGAATGAACATCCTTTGACACAGAGACCTGGGGCACTGTTTCCCAGGAGAGGGAGAATCCCAAATCCTGAGCTGGGAAGTTGAGGGGGGGGTGGGTATCGGGGGAAGGGCTGCATGTGAACTAAGCTCATCTCAGAGAGTAGGCCTGGCAGAGCATTGCGTTGCTAAGCAACGGTAGGGGCCTCCCTCTCCTCTCCCTCCTGTCTGGGTGGGTTGCCATGGTAACAGCTGGGAGGCAGCTGTGTTTAGCTCCTAGTGTGCGCACACTCACAAACACACACCCCTGCAGCCCAGCGAAGGGAGGAGCAGGGAGTAGAGCCGGACAGGGCAGGAGGAGAAGGCTTCTCTTGGGGCCAGATTCTACTACCCTCCCAATCCCAGATCTTCCTGCCCCTCCAGCACACACATGGGGACTGCATCCCATCAGTCTGCCACATGCCCCAACCCTCTGGTCTCCTAGAAAAGTTCCCAATTCAGGACAATGGGCTATGGCTTCCAAATAACCCTTTCAACACCTCCCCCAAATCATCATGGACATCCCTGGTTCCCCTCCCTGTTCCCTCCTCCTCACTCACTGTCCAGCTCTTTTGCCTTCCTCCCTCCATACAGGACCTTCCTCTGCAGAGCCCAGCCTGCCCCAAATGTTGTGGCACCCATCTCCTCTTCTTCCTCCTCCGGTGTTCCTGCACTGGTGATGACGTGGGCACAGGAGATGCTGGCAAAGGCCCCCCCATCGGTCCCTTGCTCTTGAAGCTGGATCTTGACCATGGGGGATGGAGCCCCCATTCCACAGCCCTTATTCAGCACCCCCCCAGCCTTAAGGCTCTCGTAGGCAGGGGGTCTCTTGAGCCCAGCTGCTGCAGCTGGGTAGGTCCAGAGGGGGGTCAGGGGGCCTGCAGTTGGGTCCGGAAGGCTGTGAGGGGAGGCCAGGCAGGCGCGATGGTGGAGAACCCCAGCTGCTGCACCCATGGCCCCGCTGTGGGGGCTGGATTTCCCGGGCACCGGCGGCCTGGAGCTGGTGCACAGCATCCCATGGAGGACTGAGATCTCTTTCTCCGTCTTTGGCTCCCCCAGGGGTGGACCAGCTGGCAGGACGGAGTGCGTGGTCACTTTGACTGCTGAGTACACCATGGTGTAAGACACAGCCTTGTCCTTGGGGGGGCCGGGAAGCAAGGCAGCCGGGGCAGGAGGGGCTGCCGGCGCCCCTGCTGCCTTGGGGCAGATCATGCTGTGGGAATTGGGGAGCTCCCGCTCCCCCC